CAATCTACGCATCTTTCAGTCCGTAAATAAATGTGCTACCTGTGCAAAGTACTTACGCCCCAGTTTTCCACACAGACAAAACAATAGGTGCAGAAGGAGCCAACTGCACAATGCTGACATGATTGTACAACTCTGCTCAGTTGTTCCAATCCCAGCTACAGGAATAAAACCTGCCTGCTTTCTTGTATGACAATTATAATTATAGCGATTACAAATATGCCAAACACAGGCATGCAGGGCGGTGGCAAATAAATGCAAATCCAAAGCTGCCAGACTTTCCACTGAAGTAGATGGCAGATCCTGGCAAAAGGATTTCTCAAAAGGTTTCAGGTTCATTTAAATTCCACCCGTACCATCAATGTCAGAAGATACCCGTCCACCAAAAGAAACACTACCTCGGTTCCCAAAGCACAGCCCTTGAGTGATACCAAGAAATGCTCCGGTCTTACATCCCCTCCCCAGCTGAACAGCAGCGCTGGACGAGCCGAAAGCTCCTCCTAATCAAATACCAGCAGTCATCTACAACACCCTCCCAGGGAAGCGATCAACAAGAGCACAAATATATCGTTCTATCTTCCCCAAATACTCTCCCCGCCTCCAGAAGCGCCACGGCTCACGCCCCAGAGACTGACACCTCAACTCACAACGCAAGGACAGCTTCACCCCGCGGACAGGTCAACCCCCGTGTCCCTTTGATGCTCACTATCGCTGCGGAAAACAATGAGCATTTGTTTCATAAAACCGATTTCCCAGATCACTTGAAATTCGCTAAGGTCTTCACGAAGGCCAGCTATTTGGTTCTTTGGTTATCAGCTCAGTACGTAAATGCAGAATAATTCCAGACGTATTGCCAAACAGTGCAGTTGTGTGAAACTGCACTGAGCTCACGTACACTTTGTAACACGGGTTAAAACTTCAGTCAAATGTGCAGATGCTCTTGCTTCCCCCCTACGGGCACTGCATTAACAGCAGGCACAGGGACCCACAACGCATATGTTTCACGGGGGAAAAAGGGTAAGGTAGCCCTTATCCTGCAATAATTACCAGGCACGTTACATTTTACATACAGCACACTAAATTTTCAAGGTAAACACAGGCAGGTTCAGCCAGGAACTCCCAGCACAGTGAGCTGGTTTTGCGGCAATCAGTTTGTTCATGTTTCAGCAGGGCAGCGGAGCCAGTAAGGTCTACAGAAGTAGCATTTAGGGTTTTTAAAAGTGCTTTTGTACCCCAAACTGCAGTGGTTTTGTTCTGATAGCTTGCTTAAATTGGACTTATAGAAAATGAGAGTTAAAAAGGGAACAGGGGACTGCTAGCGGAGCGTTCTTAAACTCATTTGTGTGACCTCTCACCAACGGCACAAGCTGGGAAACTGCACCGTGCTTGGTCACAACTGGCTAATTTCAACTACTTAACGTCAGCACCCAAAGATCAGTAGATCATGTCAAGTCCTAAAGAAAACAACATAAAGCATTTACTTCAGAATAGGATGTGGTCTGGTTCAGATTGGAATTGTTTACACTTTCCAAGGCTAAACCCAAGGAACGGGAACAGACACAGTACATCGGTGTCTCCAAAAAGAGAACACTCACTTCAGCAACTTCAGACAACTTGATCCATTGGTTTTACAGACAACAAATGGAACATCACGAGCCAGGCTCTGCCAGCCCGGTTTAGAAATGAACGGGACCTTCCTGAAGCACAAAGGAAAATATTCAT